CCACCTTATCCCCCACCACACACACACACACACACACACACACACGCACACACACACACACACGCACACACACACACGCCCACCTTATCCCCCACCACACACACACACACACACACACACACACACGCACACACACACACGCCCACCTTATCCCCCACCACACACACACACACACACACACACACACACACACACACGGACTAAGAAAGCAGTTCTATGACTTTCCGTTCTATGATTCGTACCGCCAACTCCGAATTATCGTAGCATTCTGTCCACTCCAGTGCTCATGTCACCACGCCCATACTCCCTGTAAACCAGGTCTCACCTCCACCCCCACCCCCCCCCACCCCCACCCACCCACACTCCCCGGCTCCTTATCGTTCAGAAACGTGTTGAAATTTACTGCAAGTTGTTCTCCTTTTCAGTTGATACATTCGCCACTGGTCCTGTTTAAAAAAATTCTGAAGGACTAAACGTGCAGTGAAATGCTAACATGATGTTGCATTTGCTCAGATTAAAGCCTGAAATTGGTGGTTGATAAATGCAAATTGTTGTGTTTTCTACCACAGAAATGCGAAGGTTATAGTAGCCAGTGGTGTGTGTTTGGATAGCTTTTACTACTACCCCGACACCCTGGTTTTATCAGCGAAAGGCATACATTTTTCATGAGATCTTATCGTGTATTCACATTTGATATTCTGACTGTCGAAACATTTTCATTTTTCTCTCAGTTAGGTCTGCTCTGTTATGACATAACTTCGTTACTAATGGTGACAGTTTCCAATGTAAACTTGTTTCACGTGACGGTTTCTCTTTTATGCTATTCTTATACGTAGTGTAACGACGCGTTCCTAAACACCAACATTATTCCCCCTCTATAAACAATATAAGGATAAACAAATCGTTCTCTTCCGTGGAATTTCACTGGATCATGTTGACAAGGAGGAAAGAAACCAATTCTTCTCTCCTCAACGCTACGCCGGTAAGGAAAAAGCATACATGCACTTATAAGGCAAGAACTCGCCCTCACATCTAATGACATAGTCGAAATAAATTTTTTCGTAAGCCGATACAAATAAAGATGATTGAAATAGATTTCAAACTGTTGAGACCACAGAGTATTTGATATGAAAACTTGAATGATACCCTGAAAGACTTTTCTTACAAGAATACAGGTGCAGGCAGGACGTTTATTTTTCTACGCGGTATCGAAAATAGTATGACAATGGCTGTTTTACCGGCAATTTCGCAATGTTTTCTGATAATAATTGAATGTGGTATGAAAATAGAAGGTCAGCTTTGTCGGAGCCGGGATTAATGCATTTAGGAAAATAAACGCTCTATTTTTCTGCTTGATTCGAGCCGTGTAAAATTTGGTTACTCTTCTTCTTTGTTTGTTTTCTTAAGTATAACTCATTTTCTGGTCACTTACGCCGCACAGTTTACTGGAAGAGAGGTCAGGACGATAGCAAACACGGCATTTAATGTGAAACTTTTGTCGCATTTTCTGACAACAAAATCGCGAGGAATTTTCCGCTCCAGCGTGCTACACTTTATGCACTTACAAAAGAAACTATTAGATGAATATTATGGGATATTTAGTATATTTAAAGAGAGAAATTATGGTTGAATATAGTATCCACTAAAGGGTTGTATTTGCATTCCATCAGTGCAGTGCAAGGAAGCGCCTTTTTGTAGACTGCGGGGCATTCAGTCGTGAGGTTGCCGGACTTGGTTGAATCCATACATTGAGTGGCTCTTTCTTTAAGTTAATCAAAATCATTGATTTCATTTTAGCGCATCGAAAAAGAGCCATTGATTGCGATTTGGAAGAATAATAGTGGTTGTAGGGGCGCATCATAAGTATTCGCAGTCAAAATACGCCAAAAGCGCGACGAAATTAATTATTAATGAACTCCCTCTTTCAACTGGGACTCCGTTTGACACCTCAGTGAATTTAGATACAATGCTGCCAGAAATCTTGTTTCCCGCCAAAACAACGAATACTTGGTTCTGACCTCTTGAACCGCGTATTGTACACAGTAAGAGAACGTAACGCGTCCATTCGATCCCAGCGGTGAACAAATCTAACAGTTACATTAAGAATTAAATCGATGGTGCCCGTATTAACGATGAGCTGAATTACATTATATATAATGGAAAGGTTAGAATATTGGTGACTGAATGTTCTTTGAAAGCCATGTCATTCCTGTCACGATGACCTGCCTTTGTAACTTTCGTGTTCGTAACTTTTTTCTCATTTTATTTTGAGAGACGAGAAAAAATATCTTCTCACGTGAACCAAGACGCCGCTCTCCGTTTTGTTAGCTTCAAGCGGTTTACCCAGTAAAAAGATGGGGCGAAGCCGTCGTGGTGTTATTACATCGCTGTTACAAACCGGATTAAGCGAAGCTGGAATCCTCTTTGTGCGAGTATTGAAAAACATTTGTAAGAATTTTCCACGCCAAGAAACAGGATTGTGGGAACAGTCCTCTCGTCTCGGCAAGACATCGAGACCTCAAAATGTTGTCACGGAACCTCGAACAATTCAAGAAAAGGGGGGCTTATTTTAGTCCATGTGTGTTGTTTTGACACCTTTTCTCCATGTGGGGGTGCGGGTTCTTAAATAATTGTATATATACATGTACATATATTGATAACTTAATTATCACACTTCTCAAACAAGAGAAATCAGTAAGTGTTATCAAATTAAATGATATGACGTAAATTATTAAAGGAACGCTGGATAATGTCAGTTAGGCAAGCCCCGTAAAAGTTTATTAATCGATCTGTCATCTATCTCCTATATTTTACTTTGCCAACACGTAAATTCGGCGAAGGTGCATTTTCTTTCCCAGGTACAACAAAAAACGGCTGTGTTGTTGTTTATAATTTGACTTTTTTTNTGGGGCGAAGCCGTCGTGGTGTTATTACATCGCTGTTACAAACCGGATTAAGCGAAGCTGGAATCCTCTTTGTGCGAGTATTGAAAAACATTTGTAAGAATTTTCCACGCCAAGAAACAGGATTGTGGGAACAGTCCTCTCGTCTCGGCAAGACATCGAGACCTCAAAATGTTGTCACGGAACCTCGAACAATTCAAGAAAAGGGGGGCTTATTTTAGTCCTTGTGTGTTGTTTTGACACCTTTTCTGCAAGTGGGGGTGCGGGTTCTTAAATAATTGTATATATACATGTACATATATTGATAACTTAATTACACTTCTCAAACAAGAGAAATCAGTAATGTAAGTGTTATCAAATTAAATGATATGACGTAAATTATTAAAGGAACGCTGGATAATGTCAGTTAGGCAAGCCCCGTAAAAGTTTATTAATCGATCTGTCATCTATCTCCTATACTTTTTCTATTCTCTGAATTTTTTTTTTTTTTTTTGTTAAGTATATCATTTATTTTGAAATTATTTCATATCTCAGAGCAAAACTTTGTGAGTTTTGGACATTTACAAATATTTTTTGTTTATTCTTTTATTTCACTTTTTCATTTATGGATTTTTATATTTTTGGTTCTCCCTATTTATTCCTTTCTTTCTTTTTTCTTTCTTTCTTTCTTTCTTTCTTTCTTTCTTTCTTTCTTTCTTCATCCATCCATTCATTCATTGATTTACTGTCTTATTTTGCAGACGATTTGGAATAAAGCGCTGTGCAAGATGCCATCTTGTAATATCACCGAACGAACTCGTAATGCGAGCAAGAGACTTGGTCTACCACCTCACATGTTTCACGTGTGTGACTTGTAACAGGGGGTTAACCCCCGGGGATCAGTTCGGAATGAAAGATACTATGATATACTGTCGGACACATTATGAGCTGATGCTACAGGGGGACTATTTGCCGGCTCTCTCCCCCACCATGCCGGGTCTGACGGCCCAGTTACCCTATTACAACGGGGTTGGAGCGACACAAAAAGGAAGGCCCAGGAAGCGAAAAAGTCCAGCGCCTGATCCGGACTCGTGCCCGTCTTTGGGTAAGTGGCCGTGTTTTGTTTGTTTGTTTGTTTGCTATTTACTTTTTTATCTGCGTCGTGTGTGTGTGTGTGTCGTGTGTGGAATAAGGTATCGTTCACTGTCGCTGGTTTATGGAGTTATGGTGTTTTTTCCTGTTTGTTTTGTCATCCACTCTTGTGTCCAAGTGTCCTTAAGTGGAAGTTTTCCGCTGATTTAATAACATACACGGGTATATCTCATGCTATATTTTTTATTCTAACGTGTCTAACGTGTATCTTGACACTCAAAATGCAAGAACGAGCGGCGTTAAATTATAAGATGATCTGCTTCATATCGCAATATTATACTACTGTTTGAAGCGATGAAAATAAACAAAAATATTTTATCAAATTAGGAGGTAGTTGCACCTGAAGAAAAAATGATATACGAATGCGAATTACTTTCGCCCGGCTGGAGGGATTGCCACAGGGCAACACGAGAAGGGGGGAAATACATGCATGTTACCTTCAATACGCGACAGTAAACTCAAGGATTAATGTCATTTCCCATGTTGAATACTCAGATATCCGCTGTGAGACTGTCTTTTAACCGAACCGTTTTATTGGAAAAGCTCCCCTTAATCATTAATAACGGTTAAGAGGGCCTGCCTTAGGATGTGCAATTTCTGTCCTTTCAAATCCATATACTTCCCTGATTGTAAGTTAAGCGTAGATCCGGAACGTGGATAGTTGACAGATAATATGTTGTGAGATTTAAGAAGGAAGCTGGAGCTGGAACAACGTAATAATTTCATTTAGGAGTTAGCGGACATGCGACAAGCGAATAACGCGATTTGACGTGTGATTACAATGGCTGCCGGCGTGGAAAGAAGGAGACGAAATCTAGCCGGTGATGAGTCGGAAGACAGGGGGAACTGCCGAGTTATCTGATGAATAAGATCGTTTAGTGTAGAAAATAAACCACGAAGACGGTTGTCTTAATAACGTTGTAAAACGAGAAAAAAGTTTTTGAGAAATGAGAAGAGACGTTCCCTTTGTGAAAAGGCGGGTGCGGTAGATTGATATAGCATGGCATTTGTGTGAGTGATTCATGTAAAGATCTCTTGAAATTATCATTATTTTAAAAGCAATCGACATTGCAGAATTGTGTACTGAAGAGAGAGAGAAAGAGAGAGAGAGGTGATCAAACAGACGTGTTTGTTTGTTTGTCAATAAACTTACATAATAAAAGGTGGGAGGGGTGAAAATAATGGCTGACTGACGACAACACCAGATTTCTCTACAAGTTAAAGAGGTAATTTTCTCAACCATGTACCTCCCCCTAATCTTACCAGTTTAGAAACTGTTTTGCAGAAAGAATTTACAAATAGAAACGCACAATTGTAATTGAGAAAAAAAGAAGAAAAAACATGAGAATAGAGACTTTTTTTACTATAACTGCATTCGACCGGTGTCAGATAGAATGATCTCGACCACAAACTTTATTAGGCCATCAAATAGTTTTGAATACTTGAGACAAAACCTTGAGACAATCCCCCTCGCCTAATATAGCCTGATTGACAGGTGTAAGTTAATACGGCCTTAAGCCGGTTAGTTGGCTGACCGGATTAAGAGATGAAATACCCTTCTATAGTCGTGTAAGTTTTATGTCTTGACGTTTTTAGTTTTATGTAGCCCCGGCGGCGATGAGCAGAAAGCATTGCCTCCTCTTGGGTTCGTCTTGAAATAGCAACTTCGCGGTGTAAAGGGCTTCTCCTTAGGTCGGCCGTTTCCGGCAATATTATCTCTTTTCTCACAGTTTGAAAAGTTTATAAATCCGTAGGGCTCCACCCGAGGAGCATTTTACAAACTACAATTTGATCTCAACACCGGGTTGCGCTTCCTCTTCGTCGCGTATTGGTATTTTAACACGTAAGCTACATTTAGCTGAAAGCTCAAACTCACTGAGGGGGAAAAAACAAGAGGAGGGGGGGGAGTGTGTGCTTGAAACGATTGTTTTAAAATCTTTTTTTTTCTGTGAGCGGGACGGTTTTGTCGTCTGAATGAATGCTATTTGTAAGCTAAGCTGTTTCTTTGACTAAGGCCTGTACTTGTCTAACTAAACATTTAATCAAGAGACGAACTACAGTTACTTCCTTCAAACAACAATTTTCACCTTGGAAGCATGACTTTTACGCAAAACATTGGTACAAATAGAAAGTGTGGGCTACGGTCGTCGTGTGTTATTTGAAAAATAACTACCCGTGGTTTGACCTCTAGAATATAAAAAAGAAAGAAAAAAAAGAAAAAAGAAAAAAACAAAGCTGGGGCAGCATACACATCTTGGCTCCTAACCATGTGCTGCTCAAATCGAGTTTAAAGAATAAACTCAAAGTACCGTTTTTTTCTGATGTAGGTAAAACACGATTTGTGTTTCATTAACATATAATCTGAGAAAACTTTTTTAGACATTCAAACACCTATCGGCTGTAAAAGAGGGGAAAGCTATGACAATATGCATCATTTGGATCGAAGGGAAATTTAAGAATTCGTCCGGGAATGTGTTTTCATACAAACATATGCGATAGAAAAAAAGACTAAGGTTGACTCTGAACAAAAATAAAGATCGAGAAGTTATTAATAAACTTTCCAAACACCCTACATTTCCTCTAGGAACCCCAATGGCGCACAAATGAAGATACAATAGATAGTAACACAATATACGCAGAGAAAAATAATACTAAAAAATCCAATTATCTATCGATAGGGCTATGTCGAAAACACGTCCATTACATTGGTTCCGAGATAAGTGAAAGTGTGTAAATGGATGGGTGTAAGTTCTATTGGCAAGAAATTGCTTCATAATCGACTGCTAAATGGTGATTGCCACTGCTACTCGATTCAAGGAACAAAATCAATTTTGGTAAGCGAATTCTGATTATCATTCCACAAGGTTCCATAGTTCCTCTGCTTTTAAACTTTCCAGACTTCTACTACTTCTATTTTTTCACCCTCCACCAACGGTTCGGTTACTTTATATTTGGAAAGCGTCGGAACTGATTTAAGTTGACGACTCTGACGCAACGATGCGGCAACAGAGAAAATAATGGAAAAGGTTTTGTGAAAATGGTTATACAGAGCTCTGTATATTCGTTCCTCTCTCTCTCTCTCTCTCTCTCTCTCTCTCTCTCTCTCTCTCTCTCAACAGGGTAGTTAAAGGTATTTTTTTTACGTTCTTTTCGTATTTCGTCTCTGCGTATGTGGCATTATCTAGAATACGAAGTGACGGCCAGGGGAAAACAACAACCGATAGAAATTTCGATAACGCTCTGTGACGGAGGAATATTATGTTATTTAAATCGCCTATCATATATTTAAAAATCAATAAGTTACTGGTAAAAAAAAACGTTTTATTGAACTATTTGATATCTCAACTGTTGAACCACCATTTTTTCTCAAATTAAGGTCAATAAATTTGTGTCACATAGACATAAATCATTCAACAAATTTGATGACAAATGGAGATAAAAAAAATTCAGATTAAAAAGAACTATTTAACCAACATTAAGACTAAGGACTGAAAACCTCTTCCAAACGTCTCGTTTTCCAAAGCCTGACAAAGAATGTATTTGGCAGTAACTTGACTCTACCTTACTGGAAACCCACTGATAGCTCGGCCTGCGCTTTTACCCCGACATTTTTTCAAGACACGGGGACCCAAATCCGTCAACAAGGGAGCTCAATAGCTCTTACATCTTCCATAAATCCGTCATTGGTAATAAGAAGAAGCATTTATCATGCTGAAACCGTGACAGCCATCATTGAGGGCTGGGGTCGTGCAAGGTTCCAAGAGGTCCCTCGAAGCATGCGTTTGAAACGTCAAACAAAAAGTCAAACCTTCATACATTTTGATGTCATATTTAACTGGCTTGGACAAGGAAATATTTGTCTCCTTTTTATATCAATGTTTGGTCGACCCAGTCCAGATGTTTAGTACTTCTGGTGTTGCATAAATATATCTGTTTGCGTCGGCTGAGGATTTTTTTTATAAAATTATTTTTTATTACAGATTTTGCCAGTTAGCAGCTGGTAGAACTAAGCTAACTTTCCAATGAGATATTTGTAATCGTTTACCTGTTAAAAGATTGATTTATAGCATTGAATATTGTAATGAATTTGATGAAAATCGATTATCTGCGCTCCCTCGGGTTATGTCGGTTTAAGTTTTAACTCTGTCTCAAACTTTCAAGTGACTCGATCGCACTTCTCAAACCAAAACAGTTCTGTGAACCTGTTATATGAAGTGAACGTCATTTTTAACCGTTTCATCTTCATTTCAAAGGTACGACTGTACTCTTTTGAAACAAGTTTTACTTCTTTATTGATGCAAGTAGTATTATTGAAGTACTTCACAGGCTTGTTAAAAACATGCCCTTTTCGGTGTTAAGAATTAATTAAATATAGATAGGTCGCTTACTGGCAAATTTGTCTATTTCGACATTTTTTTTAAGGTCTACGCGTTTATTGTCTGTAAGCTGTGCTTGCAATTGAACTGTGATGAATATTTGATTCGTTAGCATTCCAAACAGCAAAGATTTCATTCCCTCCACTTCAAACCTTTTATACTCTTGAAACAAAAACTGAACAGTTGTTAACAATGGCTCTCGCCGCGGTGATTCTTTACACGCACCGGCCTACGCTGGAGAGTCGTGGATCTGAAAAAGATATCACTTCTAGAATATCGAAGTCAGTTAACAATTGAGATTATCTCTCTCTTTCTCTTTATCTCAGTGCAAAATTCGCAGAATTGCTTGGAGCTTAGTGGACTTCAAACTCCTCGTCGATGTGTACATTCCGCGTCGGGTTTTGTACACTTGATATCGTAATCGATAGAAGACAGTCAAAACCATTGATCTTAGGTAAGAGAGGTTAGATGTCACTCTAAGTTAACTCCTTAATTATTCATAACTATTATTAACATTGATCACCTCTTTGAATACGAGTCAATAGCCCGGGCTATTACTCGATATTTAAGCTGAAAT